ACTCTCGACATTAGCTGGGTAACACAAACGGAACTCCATGGGAAACAAAACAAGAAATATCAAAGTTGGGTGGGAAAGTGGAGAGGGCAGTTAATGTGAGGGGTGTATGCTCAAAACATGTTGTATAAAAAATTTTCAAACAATTAATAAAAATATTGCTTTAAAAAAGATTCTTTCTATATTTAAAGAGTGGAGTACTACATAGCAGCTAAAATAGATAATAGATATTAGAAAAATAGAAAATAGATAATAACAAGGTTGGAGGATGAGATTATGTCCTCTTGATTTTGTAAATAAGGTTTTATTGGCAAGCATTTGTGGACTCATGCATGTAAAATCTATAATGTCTTTTATTCCAGGAGAGAAGAATTGGGGGTTTGTGATAGAAAGTAAATGGCCTGGATACACCTTTGAGACCCTAGAATGTGGGCTCTCTAGATCTGCAAAATAGTATTGCAGGCAAGAGGCAGATGACTGTATGATGTGCTGTGGAATTGTGGGAGCGAAACACAGGAATATATGTGGGAAAGTATAGGGAGATGGCTCAGCGAGGCTGCCTATGGGTCAGCCTAACTCAGGGCTCTGACGCAGGTGTCTGGTGAGACATGGACTCAGGCTTGTGGCAGCCATTCAGTCCTTCCATTGTGCAGATTCAAAATAACAAACATGTCAAAACTACACTCTCCCTAGGGCTGGTAAAGACCCTGCGACACAGGCTGTGGTGCTTGAGGCATGGGCTATTTTACTTTGGTCGGTTGATTGGTTGGTTGGTTGGTTGGTCTGAGACAGGGTTTCATTTATGTTGGTCTGGCTGCCCTCAAACTCACAGAAGCCTGCTTGCCTCTGCCTCCTGAGCACTGGGCTTAAATACATGAACATCACAAAGCGTGGGCCATTTTTTAATTCCCTTTCCTCTTCATTCCACAGTGCCTGTCCTGGTGTATCAAACCACTGGTCAGTGACAGACCTGTGGACTAAAGTCAAGGAAAGACAAAGTATCGGAGCTACACGGACAAGTGGGGTTCACAAGGAAAGTGTATCATTTGGTATGCCTGATTCTGTGTCACCACTGCTGACATCATCACTCACCTGGGAGCTCATCAGACAAGAACTATCCAAGCAACAGCCTAGCCGCACGTGGCCATTGAACACTTGAAATGTGACTAGGTCAAAATAAAGCAGTCGATGGAAAACAAATGCTGGGTTTCAAGGGCTTAATGCACTTTTAAAAAAAGAAAATGCCATAGATCCCATTAATAATTTGCCATATTGATTGCATGTTGAAATGATAATATTTGGTATATCGGTATATTTGTTTTCTATCCCAGCTATAACAAATTACGGCCAAGTAGGTGGCTTACAACAACACACATTTATTATTGTACCATTTGGCAGGCCACAGTGCCTACACAGGCCTTACTGGTGCTGAGGTTTGAGTTTGAAATGTCCTTATAGGCTTGTGTGTTTGGAAGCTTGGTTCTCAGGTACTGATGGCTGTTTTAGGGGGAAGCTCCCAGAAGTGGAGTCTAGCTAGGAGAAAGGGTGTAACTAGGGGTGTTAGACCTTTGGAGGTCACAGCCCTGCCCTGTTTCCTGTCCTGATCTCTCCTCTGGAGGATAGATTGAACCTTCTGAAACCATGAGATAGAGTAAACCTTTCTTCCCTGAAGCTGTTCCTATTAGGTGTTGGGATCACAGTGATCCAAAGGTAACTAATGCCCCAGGCCAAAGACCAGTGTGCAATCTTTCTTCATGACTTTCAAAGGCTCAGGATAGCCCCAGAACTGCTTGTCTGGTTGCCCAGTTTCAAAGCCAATGAGAATAGGTCTGTATGGTTTTTTCCTCTTGCATCTCAACATAGAAAGAGAACTTTATACCTCCCTTTTTCTCATGACTAGGGACCTTCATGACCACAGCAGGTTACCAAATCCTCTGGATCCTGTCTCTGTCTTTATATCAACAGCCCTAAGCTAGGCATTGTAGTGCACACCTTTAATACCAGAACTCAGAAGGTGGAGGCAGATAGATCTCTGTGAATTCCAGGCCAGTCTGCCCTACATAGCCAGTTCAAGGCAGCTAGAGGTACACAGTGAGACACAGCCTCAAAAAACAAATAAACAGAAAACAATAAACAACAAAATCACCACCAATAGCAACCCAACTTAATTCCACCTGAACCATCAACTATTTTCCATGTTGCAAACAGTATTCATTGCCCTGGGTATTTACCAAAGAGCTTTATTTTGCATCTCACAACTTACCTCAATAAAGTAATTAAGTTATTGGTTAATTCATTTTGCAGTACTAGAGATGAAATTCAGGAGGTACATCCCCACTCCTCACGGGGGGCTCCTAGTCAGGTGCTCTACCACTGAGCCACACCCCAGCCCCTCACTGGGGGAATCTAGGCAGGTGCTCTACCACTGAGCCACAAAACAGCCCCTCATTGGGGATTCTAGGCAGGTGCTCTACCACTGAGCAACACTACCAGCCCTTCACAGGGGAATTCTAGGCAAGTGCTCTACCACTAATCAATGTCATTTGTCCTTTTGTTTTCAAGGCAAGGAAGGTTTCATTATGTTATTATGTTCTCAGACTGATTAGCAAGTCACTGTGTACCGAGGCTGGTCTTGAGTGTGCAATCCCTTGCCTCAGCTTCCTGAGTAATGAGATAACAAGCATGACTACCTCATGTCCCCCCCTGAAATTATGTCATCTTATTTGTTTTAAAGAAGTCCCTGAGTCCATTTGGCGCTGCCTGTATGTACCCAGTTGCTCCCTGACATCACTACCTACAGTATATTGAAGCAGAAGCCCCTGAGGAATGGCGAGCCTCTACACCTGGATTACACTGAATTCGTGTTCCTGATGTAGTTAGTCTGTGTGCCTTTATTGTCTCTAATCCAAGTATTTTGCTGAATGCCAACTCTCTGCTCAACATGCACTGTTTTTCAAAATTAACCCAAAGTAGGATGTCAATGGAGATGAAGGCACAGGTCAGGGTGTTAAAGTAATGTCATTGGCCCTCAGAAGGGTTCAGTGACCTGTGTTACCTGATAACTAGACAGTAATTTCCATTCCCCCAGAACTACTGGGTACTGGGCCTGTTCTGTCTTTCATGCACCCCACTGAATCTCATAGCTGCCAGAGAGGAAAGTCTCCACCCCACCCAGATATAGGGACTGAGGCTCCTAACACACCTGACAGCTGAAGCTCACAGCATGTCTGAGGACTGGAAACTGTGAAGCCCAGGATGATGGACTCGAGCAGGAGCTTGAGGGGTGGACAAGTCTAAAGGCCTAATCTAAAGGACAAGATTTCACTGAAAATGAAGGAGTCCAGAGGCCTATTGGGATCAGTTTGAGGGATCACCACCTGAGTGAGGAGGAGGGTGACTGACTTCAGGGGTGAGCAAATGGAACATGAATGGAGAGGAGGAGGAGGAGGAGGAGGTGCCTGAGCATATGGGTGTGCAGTTAGAACATGAAAGGAGTGGTGGAGTGGGTGCTTGCATGAATGGATGGGTCAGCAGCTGCCTGAGTGGATTTGGGGTGGTGCTGCTTGAGTGGGTAGGTAGTGAGTGATGTGCAAATGAATGGCAGGTCAGCAGGGCATTAGCAGATGGAGGTCATGTTGCCAACAGCATAGGATGAGAGATGGCATTGAATTAATAGCCTTAAGAGAGATAAGACAGCTTCGTTGTGAAAGGTCTGGAATTCCAGTTTTAACAGCACCAGGTGGGGTGCTATTCAGTGGTTGGATCATGGGGACCTAACTACATCAATGGACTAATGCCTTGGTAAGATCATAGCTTAACAGCCTGACTGGAGGAAGGAGATCACTGGAGACATGACCTTAAGGGGTTCATTTCCTGTTCATGTAACTCTCGCTCCATCATGATGCTCTTCCTTACATACATGGGCCCAGAAGCAGCACAGCCAAGGGACTATGGATTGAACCTTTGAAATGGAGTCACATCAAACCTTTACTCCTTTAAGTTTTAGCATCAGGTGGTTTGTCATAGCAATGGAAAACAGTCAACCTAACGACTGACTGTTGCTGGAGGGCTTCTCTCCAGGTCCCCAAAGCCCCGCAGTCCCACAATCCACGTATAAAATAATCACTCAGACGCTTATATCACTTATAAAC